TAAAGGGAGGCATAGGGATAATGTCCTGGAAACAACTTGTACAATGCCATGTGGGAAAAAAAGGAGGATAGCTCTGCATGGATAAACCTGGAGGAATGTATTTATATGTAGGGGATTCAAGAGAATGATGTGGAGAGGTGGATTTCAAATTAAGAGAAGTGAAGGGAAGACGAGAGCCATTAACTTTATTGAGCTCATTTAAGAATAACACCAGAGGCTCAAAGATATCTAAACCAAATATCCAATGTTATGTTGCCTGGCAACAATACCTGGAAAATGCAATCAAGAGTGTAATGAAACCCAACCTATTTCCCCCAACATTTAATCAATCCCTCGTCTTGGAGACCAAGAAATTGTTTTCTGCATTTCACTATCCAATGCATCATTGTTGACTTCTGCTTCTGCTTTTGAGTGCAAGAACATGAAAATCATGTTCCATTCAGAGGTAAACTCTGTTGTCATAATAAGTCCCTGTATGCTGTCAGCTACCAGTCTAAGAATGAGGGGATTAGACAGACAGGTGGAAATTTCATAAAACTTTGTGACCAGGATCCCGTTGCACCAGCTGTGCTCTAAGTTCGAACTCAGCCTAGTCACTGTATATTGTGTAACATTTATGCATTATTAAATGAGTTCTTATATAGATATTAATTGGTGATAATTATTTACACCCAGCAAAGAGAGCTGTTGTGCAGCTAACTAAGCTAACTAACAAAACTAATGTCAGCCTGCTTATATATGACCTGGTAAAGGTAATGTAATATATGGCTGACATATTTAACATGACACAACATGTTGTTTAATAGTGATGTAACACTAAAGATTTTAAATTATGCATCACAAAAAAATACTTCAAACTACGAAACTTTATGCCAGAAATGTTTTGGTAAATAATCGATAAGGTTGGTTAGTCTAGCATGATCGGATATTTCCCTGTCACTCTAAATGCTACTGACTATGAAACACTTACTTCTCCATGTATGCATATATACATTTAAAAAGTCATACCTATATTTACAAAGTAGAAGTTAAGTTTAATAAACATCACTTGAATCCCTAAATTGTTATTTTTGGAGGTTGTGTTAAGCCTCAGAAGCTTCATGGTTACATGGTTGATTGTTTTTGCGAATGTTTTAACCAGTAAAGACTTGGTAATGTTTAAAATGGGTCCTGTATCAGCTGCTCAGATCAATCAAAGTTGTAATGGTGCAACTTGTATATGTGAACAATTAGTTAGTAGTTACTAAGAACTTAAGAAGGACTTTACATGCAAATGTAGTGATGGGTTTACAGATAGTCGGTGCAACCCAACCCCGGCAAAAGTATCCGAATTAGCCAAAATCTGACCTTCGTGTTCTTTGGAAAAATGAATGAATGTGAAATACATATACGCTAACTGAAGCTGCACTGTGCATGGAAGCCCTGAGATGACCAGATAGTCAAGCCAGCACTTCAGTGTAGTAAAACTGTTTTGTATGAAAGCAGTGAGGGAGCATAGCTGGAAAACACCCAGAGAAACACTGGGGCAAACGGGGAAGCTTTACAATACATTACAATAATTTTGCATACCACTAGCATGAACCAAGAAAGGTTCATCACCTAGTTTTCACTGACTACTATCGGCATGTGGCCCAATCTGTGTGAAAACATATTCGACAGATATGTGCATTGTGTTTGTCTCACAGGTAGGAAGGTGAAGTTTGGGTGAATCACACAAATGAGGACAAGGAATAGGCTTTGCGATTGCGTCACCGATCTAGCACCTACAGCTGGGTGCCATCGTGGAGGTCCACTGAGGAAAAGGCTGCACATTCAAAAACAGAGGTACAAGAGGAGTACATTTTTCACAAAGGTACTATAATAAGCACATAATGGGACCTGCATAGCATGTAGGTGATTTGATTCAAAGTTACAAAGATAGTTTAGGGTAGAAATAAAAGCTCTTCAATTTAGTTTCAGATTTCAAGAAAGTTCAGTCTGTTGCTGGTTTGAACTGTTTTTTTGAAATGAGCTACTGAAGGAGGACTGATTAAGTACACTCAGTTCAACACAAATATTTAGTGTTAAAGATTTGTTTATTCATGTACTGAATGTGCAAAAAAAGAAAACACTTCACCACCGTCACAGACCTCTTCCAATATCCCCATCACGTACATTAAGCAGTGTTGGTGGTGGGAAGCTGCTAAGGGATCAGGTCCTTGTCCTTGTCATACTCTAGCAAAAGTCCATGACAGGTGAAAAATACAATACTTAGTGTAGTCTAGTCTTTGTCGTGTTACCAGTGATCAGCCAGGTGATCTTGATTGAGCCTAGCCTGAAAACGATTGCTTATTGCACCTCATTCATAATAAAGGTTCTTAGTGAGGAAGCACCACCCAGTCACTTTTGTGATTACACACACATACAGTTAGTGTTTGGCATTTAGATTCAAGGTTCAGCTTTATTGTCATTACAGTACAAGACTGCACAATGAAATGCAGCCACCTCCATGCTAACCTGACTGCGCCAGATGGTTTGATACACTCAACTGAAACTAGAAAAGGGCAGGCACTTTCAAGAAATACTCAGCATCCATCACTGTCTGTCACAGCTGAACTTAAACCAATCATGGGTGCATGTGTTTTAATGGGAATCCATGGGTGCATGTGTTGTAATATACTCATATACACATTGTTAAATATGTATGATGTTTATTGCCTTTCTGTACATTTTGTGGAAGCGTACTGAGCCATAGCGACGTGCTGCTTGTTAATATTTAAGGATGTGGATTCTCTGGAATTGTTACATAATGTTAATATCATAATTGCTTATTTGTGCATTTGCTAAAGAATCATGATGAAGTTATCAGTGAGGAGACACCACCTTGTGGCTCTCATGATTGTGTCTTTCTGTTTCTTACGGGTGTCACACAGACGCCCCAACCACTAGCAACTACTTCCTAGAGCAGCTTTAAGGACATGATCCCTCACTGGCTTCCCTCCTGCGGACAGTGGCAATTTCACCGAACTGAAATCATGTTAAAACTTGCCTTTCCATTCAGTGGAAAATGTGATCTGTACAAAGTTTTTAAGGCAGATTTTTCAGAAACCTATTTCTTCTGTATCCAATAATTAAAATAAGAATGGCAGCAAATATTCATTGGTAATGGTGTAACACCCGCTGCATCTTGGGAAGATGCTGCTGTACATTTAATGCTGGATGGACTGGTGCTTGTGTGTACCTGAAATGATCAAGAACTATTTTGTCCATTTGCAGTGGATCACAAAGTACACATCCTGGTCTTGTGTGGTCCCATTATGTGTCTGTTATGGTGCAAGTAGAAACATTGACTCCTCTTGTGTTTGTGCGTCTCGGTGCACCTCCCAAAACTTTGAGTGTCGGAGAGCAGCCACGCTCCGGTCTCTCCCCTCTTGAGTCTGTTTGTTGTGGATCAAACTGGTGTGTGTGTGTGTGTGTGTGTGTGTGTGTGTGTGTGTGTGTGTGTGTGCATTTAGAGCAGTCTAATACAAGAGGAAGTGGGTCACAGATCCTCAGGGGACCTCTATGGTAGCTTGAACTTCCTCTTCATCATACATGTTTAATGATGGATTGTAACATGTTTTTAAGGCAGCGGCCCAGCCACAAACAACATACAGTACATGTAAACACACACAAACACACACACACACACACACACACACACACACACACACACACACACACACACACACAGAGGAGGAGAGAAATTAATTCACAATCATGCTTACTGCATCGTATGTATACTGCAGATGTGCATGGGAAATATAATCTTATAGCCTACAAGCTCTGATATACAGTACGCCACACATGCACTCATACTGTACTAGACATTTCATCATAGTACAGTAGAGATGACCGGTTTTGTGGAATATTCCCTGAAGAAAATAAATCAAATGTTCGGTGCTATCCCAGTAACGCTCTATCTATAATATCTATACGGCCTAAAACTGTAATGTCATTTTTTATAGTATGGATGGAGCCTTTTTAAAGTTTAAAAAGTGTACCAGAATGTTTTTCAGACCGGTTTCTTTCCAGCAAACTGCTCCAGACTGATCAGAGTATTGTTTTGAATGCCAGTATTGCAGAAATTCCAGCCAACTACTCCAGACTGGGAGTCTAAAATAACTGGATTAGATCACTGGTCTTCTTTGTTTTGCTAGACCCACGTCTGCAAAGTGCTAGGAGCTATGGGGAATATCGGGTGGGGCTCTCTCTCTCTCTCTCCCTCTCTCTCTCTCTCTCTCTCTCTCTCCTGCCCGCCAGAGTAAAAGAGAAACCCAACCAACACTCGAGCCTGTTGGCGGAGGAGGATGGATGCTGTGGTGGACTTGCAAACAAACAAACAAACAAACAAACAAACAAACACACAGACATACTGTACAGGTGGGAAATGCTTTGTAGATGCTGCTGGTGCTAATGGATGCAAGCAACAAGTTCACAGATCACACTCTTCTCGCCTTCAGTGAACTGGGAACATAGTGGTGGCTCACAGTGTGGTATGGCACTTGTTATTTGCAGAACAGCAGGGTTTTCTCCTTCTCAGGCTGACCACTGAGGGAGGAAAAAACCCATCTTTTAATACATGCACACACACCCTCAATGTAAGGATCCCTTAAATGTATAAATTATTGTGTCAAAGCAAGAGGTTGGATTGCATGTAAGACAGAATAAAGAGTGTAGGTAACATTTAGTGATTGAATTTGGTCTATTAAATTCCACATTTCTTTTTATCTTGGATCCCATGTTGGAAAGTTTAATAGAAGCTGCATATGAAAGGAAACATGTCTGTTAGAGATTAAAGTATCCCTAATGCTCTTCTAAAAATAGAAATTAATTTTTGATCAGCCCTGGAGCTCACGATGTACTCAAACTCTCAATTTGACCATAAAATCGCACATTTCATTTTTTTTTTTAAGGCAGCTGTAGATTCATCAGCCCCATAATAAAACTCCAGTCTACTTTAAACTCAAAAAGAAGCTGACCTGAGTCCGTGTAACGCGGTCTGGCCAAGTCCCTGAAGTAGTAAATGAAATCCAGGCAGTTGTCGTCCTGCACCTCTCCCTTGGAGCACAGGTCGGAGAGCAGTTCCAGCGCCTTTCGACAAATCTCATCCTCTCTTTCTGCAGGCATTGCCCTCCAGCATCCTTCTGACTGGTCGGCCACTCCGGCTGATCCTCCACCAGCTCTGTCACACACACACACGCTCACACACACAGCCTCTACCGGCGCAAAGACGCACGAGAAGCACCACGGCTACACCCCTGGATAGGTCCGGTGCGCTCGACGCATCCGCGAAATCCCGTGAAATCCGAATTTGCTGGAGTTTAGGTGAATTCTGAGTGAGAGCTGAAGGCTTTAGGTGAGTGAGGAGAAGTTTCCACCGGTTTGAAAAATCCTCCTTTGCATGGTTTTGTTGTTCAGCGATAAAATAACGGCTCCAACCCAGCGCGCAGCTCACGCTCTTCTCCACCTCTTCTTTTTTCTTCTTCTATTCTTTCCTTCTTTCTCTCCTTCTTTGTTCCTCCTCTATCTCCTGTCGGCTGCTCCGCGGTGCTGCTGAATCACTACTGAGCCTCCAGGCTTCAGCAGCGCCAGTCAAGGTCCTTGAATGAATGCTCGCCTTTCACTGCGCTCAGTTATTTCTCAGTGCGCTGGGATGCAGCGAGACACAGAGGAAGCTCTGCCTCCATCAGCCCCCCACCTCCACCTCCACCACCATCACCATCATCATCGCCCTGCCATTCAAGAAGCAACCTTCCCACCTCACAGAGAAGTCTTGTGTGGAAAAGCCATTAGAGACTTATGTGCGCCTCTCTCTGCAAATGTCATGAAATCCCTCTGTTCCTCCTTTTTTCTTTTGCCTAATGAGGAAAGTCAGATCTGATTCCTCTCAGCAGGTAAACACATGAGTAATGAAGTAATAGCCCCATGTGCTCATGGGTAGCAGATGTTTAAACAGGGTATGGGGCCCAAACACCTGGACCCACATGCACGAGCCTGACCTTTACTGATGGAAGTAATGAAGGGCAAGAACGACAGATAAATGTCACAATAAAGCCCTGGCGGAGGAGCTAATAAAGGCCTCCCTATCTCAGTCTCTCTGTCTCTTTCTGTGAAGTATTAGGAGAGGACCTTTTAAGTGTATCAACAAATACCTCCAAGCAACAAAAATAACTTGACTGTGAAGCTTTTGCTATATTGGTTTTCAGTGTTTCAGCTGCACGTGTATGAGGCTGCTGGCCAAACTGATGTCAAATAACAGTGACAGGGACCCACTGGATAACCAATGGAAAGCCGGCAGCCTCCGGAGAAGTGAGGAGTGTTATATTTTAGCACTTTATTATCCTGTAAAAACTTCTAAAGCTGCACCAGTCTATATTTACATATAAACAATTGATCAAATTATGGGTGTTATATGAAATAGGTTGACAAACCCACAGAGAATTATTAACCACTGCAGTTCTCCTCAGCTCTACACAGCTGTATAGATTCTTTCATCTCATGAAACTTAAAACATTATGTAACTTTGATACCTTAAAATAACCACTTCAGAATAGTTTTGCTTGTAATAGGGTTCCTCTGTCATTCTGTCTGGAAATAAAAGGCTGCAGACAGACGGCAAGACAGATAGCTGGCTTGCTGTGTCTTGTGTTGCACTTGATGTTTGGCTATGTCAGCAAGTTGTCATCTCACTAGTTTTTGGTATTGCACTCCGAAAGTGGGGGTGCCAGAAAAATAAAAAATTTGCCAAATCTTACATAGTGTTGTTTTAACCACTTTTATTCACTCTCATAGCTCTCATTTGCAGAAGCAATAGGCAGAGTTAATGAATAGCTAACATAGTGGAACATGTAGCAGCTCACAGGGTAGAGCACTCGCCATGTGTCAAGGCTGACTTCCTACCGCTGCGGCACAGGTTCGAGTCCAGTTTTGCTGCATACAATCCCCTTTCCTATCTCTATCCACTTTCCTTCAATAAAGTAACATGCTGAAAAATGCCGAGCTAGTTTTCTCAAGAGTTGGTAGAGAGTGAAACTGAACTTTTTTTTTAATGAAGCTTTTATTGCAGAGTGCATAAACACAGAAACAGAGAACAAAGGTAGACACATTAAGTGAGAAGATAATATAACATCAAGACATTACCCAACAATATCCTGAAACAAACCAGAAAAAAACAACCAAACAGAACAGAGCTTAAAGTTCTGAAAGATAATATTGAACTATTTATCAAATGGCCAGAAAATACAGGCTTTTCTCACTGCAGAAACTAAGGTTTTTGTTACACTGACTGTATACATTTGATGAATTAGTTTTGGTTTCACGTTGCAATTCTGAGAACGCACTAAAGAACTATACATGATGCACCCTCATCCTGTCATCATCCCTTACGTGAGCTGTGTCTCCCTATACTTTCAAACCTTGACTGGTTTGTTAACAGGCATGCATCTGATGTTCATGTTGTCAGTTCAGTTGTGAGTGTTTTCCACTTGACAGACCAAATGTTTAATTGACATTTGGTCTCCTCCTCCCCCCTTTTGTTGTTTTTCCTTTTTCTGGTTCTGACAATAGCCTGCCAGAACTTCCTGTAATTGGTCTGAAAGTCCAAACCATCCAAAAACTTCTTTTAACTCTAGAAACAAACTCAACCATGATTCAATTTGATCCGGGCTCGAAGTCCACCTTTTTCCATCATACCCAGGTTCGTCACTTTGGATCGGACCATGGGGAGGTTTCACTCATAACGTGCAGTTCAAAGTCCGGATCAAAAGAGGAAAGTCTGAAAGGGCCATAATAGATGCTCTGTGTCGGTTGGAAGTGTGTTGTTGTTGTTACAGTTTGTTCCACTGCACCATGTGCTCAAAAAACATCTAATGCTGCTTTAACAACAGATTCAAATGTTCAAATGTTGCTCCTTGTGTGCTAGCTGAAATATTGGGCTAAATAAGTTAAATAATCTAAAATAAAAATACCATTTAGACTGCTAGTGCAAGAAGTATTAGCCTATGTTAGTCAAGGACTACAAAACCACAGCAGGCATATGTCTCACACATTATAATACAGTATATCATCTGAAATAAAACAAAAATTTTCAGCATGTGTTCAAAACTCAGAATGAGAAGATAACGGTCTGTTACTTTGGTGATGCACACAATATCGCCTTATGCAACATCTTTAATGGCACCCAGCTGACTAACATTTAAAGTTAGCTTTAAGTTGTATGCTACTATTGCCTGCCAATATTGGAATGCTAACAGTATTACCACACACAGATGTTTGAGTAAACATTGTAGTGTTTCAAAATTGCCTCTCAACACTGTTCAAACAGCAATAGACAGGTAGGTGGATGGATAGATAGAGAAGACAGTGAATAAGTGAGTTACAGTCATGCATTGAAAGTTGTTGTTGTTGTTGTTATTTAGTCAACAACTGACCCAGAAAACACCAAGACAGCTATCAATACTGCTCTTTGTGTGAAAGAGTAAAATTTAAATAATAGAGTATAGAATGCAGTGAAAACAGGCATACATTGTGTAAGTGCCACGGAAAAAGCTTCAGAGCTTATTTTTTCAAACGCTGTACGCTTGATAAAGTAGATCAATTCTTCTAGTAACTGACACAAAAGAATCAAATACTGTCACTGAGAATCTGACAATTTGCACATGGTCACAGGATTTTCCTCTGTGATGTAAATCAACTGCTCAGTTTCACTTTGTACTTTATGGCAGTGATCTTGTTTTACTTTACTGAACATTTATATACTATATATACTTCATGCGTTCATGGACCAAACTTGCGTAAAATAATTTTAAAAATGTAATTTATTTAATTAATTGATTGAAATAACCAAATATTGTGGAAATAATCTATGAATTCCTGGAAAATGTTAATTGTATTTTAGCCCCTCACATCACCGACGTAAACCTGGGTTTGAGGAAAACTGTAGTCAAATCAGCAAAGGCAGAGAGTGAGCTCTTGCTGGCTGCCCACCCACTAGTAAAGCACCTGCGTCATTTCATCATAAAGGACGAATACAACTGGGAAAAATGTGTAAACTAGTCGAGCTAATTCTGTAAATTACATGACTGTTTGTGAGCAAGTGTTGTCCTGGATTGTCAAGAAATGTCCTGGAAAGATCCTGGAAAATTCCTTAAAAAGAACCCTGATAACAAATGAATTAATCTGAACAAGAAATATCTTGTTATGGGAACATGTCACTTAAATATCCTGAAATGTTCCTGTTATAACACCTTATCACTGTATCTCGTCAAAACAAGAAACGCTTCCCATAGCTGATGAGTTAAGTCTATCACAGGACTGATTTGTATATCAGTGTGTAACAGGATGATAATGTCTGACCCCAGGCATGAAACAAAACCAGTTAAACCACTGTTCACCTGTCATTTTTAGTTAATGTAGGTTTCTTCTCTTTAGGCATTGACCAGAAGTTTGTTCTCATTGTAACAACATACCGACCAAACATTGGATTGGTGTGATAATGAGAACATTCTGATATAAGGCCGCCATGTTCAGACTGCAGGCCAAAGTGACTCAAATCAGATTTTTTTTGCTACATGTTCTTCATGACAGTGTGAACAGCACAAATCACATGGAATCAGATTTTTTCCGTTCTGATTTGGTACACTTTCATACAGAGTTACATTCATCATGTGGGTCACTTCAGGGCCGTGACTGGAAACTGAAACAATATGAACAGCCAAGCAAAAAAAAATCTGATTTGAACAATAAATCAGATTTGAGCGCTACAGCTTGCAGCGTGAAGTTTCTTGTAAAAACAGATTTTTTTTTAGGTGTCTAGTAGTAAGAAAAAAACATTTTAATAACCTGAAAATATCATGTTTTAACATGAAAAGTGAAAAAAAAAAAAAATTGGCATTGCAGCGGCCATAAATATAATTCCATATGAGCATGGATTTTTCTCAATGTCTGCATGGGTGTTCTCCAGGTGCTGCAGTGTCCTGTCCCAGTCCACACTCATGCAGACTCTGTGAATTGGTGACGCTCTCTGTCATTCTGACTGGTTATGTGTCTATCAGCTGTATTTTTCTGAAAAATCTTTTTGTGACCACAGGCGTTAGCGCAAACCAGGCACAGCGTGGAAGAGAGGCTCCCCTCATCCTCTTTAAAAGTAGCAACAGGAGGAGGAGGGAGAAATAAAGTTAATCTCCATCAGGCATCGGAAGTTCCAAAATAACAAAATACACCCCAAATATTAATTTACCGTTGTACAGAGTTTGCACAGGATTGCAAACTGGACTCATGATCCTCACCTCATCAGGGTGTTTCCTAGCTCATGCAGCTGATATAATACTGAGAGTTTAGAGGTGAAACACCCCTGTTAGATCAGACAAAGTGCACAGAGCGGCTCACTGGGGATATAACTGACACTGCCAGCTAAATTCACTGATGTAATACCCATCACAGCCTCATACAGGTCAGACAAGGGTCAGAGGTGAGCTCTGCTCCACTCCAGGTAACCATGACAACAGAATGAAGTTGGATTTTCAGTTCAGTTCAGCAAATAGATTTTTTGACCGAGGTAAAACTCTCATAATGTTTCAGGTGCCAAAGATTTGGTTGAGGATTGACCTGCAATCTCTACACCAGTGTATCAGCAGCATCATGCATTAAAGCCAGTGATCCTCAAACTGGGGTCCCGCG